AGTCAGTTGGGGTCAGCGCAATGTCTTCTTCCATTTTCCTCTATCAGACATCATAACATCAGTAAAATCTTTTTTATCTTCAGAATAAAGACTAACAAATTAAAAATCTGTAAAATAATTTGCTAGACATGTATTGTTGTGATTGTGTTCCGACTTCGCATCTACCGCTTCATTTCTCTGCACTATCCTATGGTTGATACAGAATGCCTTAAGGCATTAAGTCTGCCATTCACTGTAATTTTATGTGAAAATAAATAAAAATAGTTAAATGGGTAACTAATACCATATCCTCTACACTCCTTTGTGATTACTAAAATAAGTGTTAGTTGTTTGAGCATGAAGATAAGAAAAAAATGCACTTATTGTTCATACGATACAAGGGAATTGTAGTAGGTATTACAGGAAAAATCTAAATTGCCATGGAAAATCGCTACAAGACGTATTTTATACATATAAATAGTCCAGTTACCTTCCAAATTGATTGAATAGGCAATATTTCTAATGACAATCCTGCCCTCATTCATATCTTTAGGGTTTATAATGGACGGAAGAGAGGTAGGACATCGAAGGACGACCACAGAAAAGAAAGATGGCTAGGTTATGGAAATAATGAAATTAGTAAGAAAGGAGGTGGTAATTGGTTGACATATGAGAGGGAAAAAGAAGGTATTCTGTACGCACACATTGCCTTGGATAAAGCGCAGGTCAATATATTCACAATCGAAGATATATAGTCACATAAAGTACGTTTCTAACTATCAGTCTTTACTCTGATCTGGTCGATAATGTTTTACTACGGTAATATACCCGAACAATGAACTAACGTGTGGTAGAAATCATAATAAATTGTCTGCCTTACCTTTATCGAATCCAATAGCGACAGTAACCAAGTTGCTTAGTTAAGTTGTTGCTACTGCGTGTTCGGTAGGCGCAAGCGCCGACAGTTACTTGTGACATTTTGTAAATGGATTTCTTCTTGCCATTCCTTAACTAGTTATAGGTACAACAGTTTAACTAACTATAGTTAGGGTCGTTACTCAAGACTGCAAAAGAAAGTAACGCTAACTACAATAATAAATACGTAATTGAATAAATAAATAAACAATTCCAATTTCATGTTATGAGGATTAAACCAGCTAACTGGCATTGAATCGACTGGAAAACCGCGCTATAACTGCAAAATAAACTCCAAATACTAGGTCAATACGCCAATCCAACTGAAAATAATAATATTTGTGACATTCAATATTCAATGAAGCTATTAACGGCTCACTGGGGTGAAAATAAACCAGTTATCTCGATAAAACAAACCGAAAATAGCAAGATTGCTTCATCTGATAAAATAATCCGTATCTTAAACTCAATAATAAACTTAATGACTGTGTACTTACGTACCTATTTGCAATGTTGACGTCACAATCGGTGTATCATTTCTTGGAAAATTCTAATCAATATGAATATCAAGAAAATGAACTTGGTCTAGACTTTTTTGAGTACTTCTGTACTGAATGGGTTTTGTTAGTCATGTGTCTATCTTTGATGTCAATCAAAATATAATATACCTAATATAAATATAATAGTGTGATCTAATTTAAATGAGTTTGGACAATATTTGTGATTGATAAGTATCTATCGCCTGGCCTGGCTTTAGTATCAAAATCTTCCTAAGCTATATTTCTCAAACACTAACTTAAAGGCGTTTTTTAAAACTATAGTTTTTCGTGCAGTAGGAGCTACGTGTATAGTTAAATGACTATAATAAAAGTATATTAACAGGTTATCAACTAAAGTACTGAAGACGGGACTCCCCTGAGTTATTCGCAAAATATGAATTAAAAGATACGTCTAATGGTTAATTAAATTCCTTTTCTGCTTTCTACTTTTAATATGTATTCATTAAGAAAGGTAACATCACGACTTTTATCCCCGAAGGGGTTGGCAGAGGTGCACATTACGGCACTTAATGCCACTGTACAATATAACGCCACGGTAATATTATTAGGCGATTGACTATCTATTACTAGTACCGTGGAACCACCACTTTTGACTATTAATAATTAACGTATTCGTTAACTAAGGATGGAAATAAGGTTAATTGTTAAATTCTGAATTTGATTGTTGGAGTATACTTATACCTATCTGTAATCCCATTGTATTTTCTTACCGTAAACAAAATACCAGCCAATATGGAAATCATTGGGGAAGGTCTATGAACTGCACAACAGAACTATAATGATAATAACACCATGACATAATGATAAAACAAAATCTTTAAGGCCCGAGTGAATAGGCTGCTTATGGGCAGACGTGCTCCATCGTAGACCGCATCATCGCTCACCACCAGGCGAGATAATGGACAAACGTCAGCCCATCAAATATTTAAATAAAAAATAACGATGACATTTTCTATAAAGAAGATTATCCGTAATTAAAGAATAAAGATAATACTATCAGTTTTCAAATAAAATCTGATAGAAGTTATATTTACAGTTCGAATAAGAAAAATATTTATTTTGAAAACATCGGAAGTAGATCCGTTTCGTGCGAACGAGGGTACGGAAATTAACTAACACTGGTGGTAAACACCCCCACTTTATTATTAGGCTATCATTTTATCAAAATACAATAAGAAATGGTTTCCTTAATTAGTAATTTTGGTGATATGATAATAGAATACTAAATAGTACATGAATTTACTTGTTCTAAAAATTAACACAACATTACGCCTTTTATCCCCGAAGGGGTAGGTAGAGGTGCACAGTACGGCACTTAAAGCCACTGTACTTACAATGTAACACCGACTTTTCACATTTATGTAATGAGTTCCATGTAATAGGAGGTGAGCCTATTGCCATATATCGGGCACAATTCCAGACTCCGTGCTACTACTGAGATTTTATTTCAAAAACTATACAACTACAATAATAGTGTGCCCGACCCGGGAATTAAACCCAAGACCTCTTGCCCGGCAATCGCAGTTGCTACCACTCGGCCAATGAGGCAGTTAATAGAACAAAATAGTACATGAATTTACTTGTTCTACAAATTACTCATTGTCTATTCATATATTGCGTGATGTTGTGTAATTCATAGTAATATTAGTTCGTGTGTCTGTTATGAAATTAATATTTTGTACCTGTGCACTTTTAAAACTATATTTTATTCTCTATCTGTTTTAGTTTTTTTTAATAATTTCTGTTATACGCATACAAAAGATTTGAATGTAGATCAAGATAAGATTCAGACTCTAGAAAATGTAATTGAAAAAAATACCAATCGAAACGTAATTTCGCCGAAATAGATTTTTTCAACCTTCACAGCAAAGACGAAAACCTTACAACCCGAATAAAAACGAGAAAGTGAAAAAGAATAATATTCTATCCAGAATGTCCCGTTTAACATAATACATACATACCTAAAAACCTAACAACAACAAAACAAACATTTAATTGCAAATTGCAAACTTTACGACGAAACATAATCACTAAGTAATAACTTAAAATAAATCGTCTATGTCTGTCAATCGCAGCGGTTGGTCGGCGACTGCATTGTAGATAACCTCGTCTTATCATACTTGTTTACTTAACACGCTAACGCTAACTCTCGGTATAAAACGACCATGTCGCTTTCTTGACGTGAACTGTGACGTCATGGAGAAAAAAATACGATCCTACGATTTCCATTATGAAAAAGAAAAGACCCTTTATTTTCGATTTTGACCAGTAATTTGATTTAAAAATACTTCTGAATAAGATTTAAGTAAATGCCAAAAAAGAGTGCGGTTTAAATCAGATTTGCGGATCACGATCGACGGAAAATGTTGTAACCCCTAAAAGCTTTTCAATTGTCGAAATGCTTACGCGATGTCCATAATTTTATGAAAGCTGAATCGGATTTTTTTAATGCTCGATTTCAAAAGAACTTGATTGTGAATTGAATTATTTTTTGGTTGAAAACATTAGAGAATTGTTTAAAAGAGCAGGATTTTTTATTTTATTTGTAAAGTGTAGATTAAAATGACGATGTGATTACAATATTAATAAAATGGTTAATAATATGGACACTAACCCAATTCACAAACGTACAAAATGTTACAAAGTACTCGATATTTACTCCGTCATTGAACTCCGAGGTGGTTACACAGCTGACTTTAAATAAAGTTACACTGAGCTATTTTAGTGGCTGATGGATAATCAATAACCGTACATTTTTAATCCAGTGCCATCGGCCTCTCAATGACACACATCCTTCTAACTTTGAACTTATTTCATTGAACTTACAACTTGACATAATGAACTAAAGGTATTCAGATAGTATGCTAGGTCGATCAAAGGGCGTATCTCGACATGTTCAACCATTTTATTTTGTTTCGCTCCAGTCTCAACCTACGATTACGTATGCAAGACGAAAATTTCGTTTTATTGGCTCGTGTCCAAAATGTTGCGTTTTGCTTTGATTCTGTTACTATTTATACGACTGTTCATGTTGTTATCGTGTGATATCTACGCGTTGTTTACTTGACGTATGTAGGTACTTAGTTTTCGTGAAAATTTCGTTTTTATTTCTTTTGGTTTCATTATCATTTAGCGACAAATCTATCAGTTTTTGCTTTGTAGTTTAGTCATCTTTAAGTAATAGGTTCTACTTTTTATAGCAAATGCCTAATTAACAGTAAATACGTTTTCGCATCTCACTGTTTTTTATTTGAAATTAATTTTTATAAAATTTGGTCTATTGTACCGGCGCGCTGGCCTCACGGTCAAATAAACAATGGAAGTGTGACAGTGTTGGGGCGCGCTATCGCATTTTCCGGAGGCTGGCGAGCTTGCGGCGGCGGGCGGCAGTGCCGGCGGCGCGCGCGCACCGAAAGCATGTGCCCCGCGCCAACAGTGCGATGTACATAGAACCGGCCGCGTTTCGCGCACCCAGCGCGGAGTCCCTCGCCGTCTCCGACCCGTCGCCTATTTGGACGCAGTGCTTACCCTCTCCGTTATTCGCAGGCAAAAAAGCGCCCCTCAAAACATTCGAGGAGATCCAGCCCCTCATCCAACAGGGCCGCAAGCGCGAGCTCAAGCTACTCATCAGAGAAAACTCCTGGCCAATCAACAGCCCCGTCCGCGCCTCCCTCTGGCCAGCTCTCTGCAGACAACATCAACATGGAAAGTCTATGCTCGATGGATTCTACTGGGACATGGTTACACAGGTCAGTGCTCTTTCAAATTACGCAACGCGACAGCGATAGGTTTTTTTTCCAAGGTGTGCGACCAACTTCACTAACTTGTTTTGCACGAAAGAAATTCGTTTTGAACTCGCAAGGTAACGTGTGCCCGCTGAGAGCGTTATCTCGCGAAACCGGCAAACGCTTAATATTTACAAGGTCATGTCTATTTACTTAGTACAATACCTCCTAAAAATTAGGTAGATATCGCGCCCCCAGATAAGGTGATGTCCCCTCCAAGGTCTCGGAATTTTCGGCGCGTTTTTGTACAAGTGCTCTCTATAGATTCAGTAATAAGTAACGTATACACTAGCGAGCGCTTCGAAATTCAAGTCAGGTGACTGTTTGTTGACCACAAAGCATACTCACACAGGCGCAAGACGTCCTTGTAGCTGAAATATGCGTGAAGTTGTCATAAAAAGCCAATCGGTCCACCGAGGCCGAATATAAGTATTATGTGGAACAGCCTGTATAGTGTGTACGTCTGTTTAGTTGTTTTCAAGTCGTAGGCTTGTCTATCATCGAGCGGGTCCTTGTGTACGACATCAACGTGCGCTCGCGCATCCTCGCGTCACAATGGGAGCTATCGCGCATCTTAATTAACCGCCACCGGTCTAACAATGGCAGACTAATTATACGACAGGTGGCTGTAGCTAACGAATACAAGCACGGTGAATTTATGACTTGTTTTTAACTTGTTGTGACATTTATAACTAATGCTTTATGTAAACTGGTAAATAAGAAAATACGTACATATATAGATTTTTACTGAAATGGTTTTGTGTACGAATTGCACGAACAGCATCATTAATATGCACGTAGCCAAGAGATTGGCAAGACATCAAGTTAGCTCGCTCACCTTCGCCGCTGCGCACGCGTCGGTACCCCACATGCACAAACACCGTATGTGGGTGTGTTTAATAACGATTGCATTGTAAGAGCTTTCCAGATTGTATGGACGCTTTAACATTATAAATTAACACAATTAATTATATTCTATGCTCTCTTTGATTAGTAAAATATATTAATATTGTAACATGTTTGATATAGTTAAATCTCACATCCGTATTCTAAACATCTTTGTCTGTAGTCTCATCACGTTTTAATATTTAATCTAAAATGTATGTCAAATAGATACATGAAGTAGTTGTTATAATATTGTAATACTTGGTTATTTGTTTTATAATGTCCATAGTATTATGATCTAAATGTGTGGCTAATTACATATTTATTGATCAAGTCGTCAGTGGCAACTGGCAAGGATAAACGAAACTATGTTTGATTTTAATGAAGTGTGAGGAGTTAGTATTTTATTTGTAAAAATACTGTATTCAAATCTATCTCACCTCTATAAGACGTAGAAGCAGCCAAAATATAGAAAAAGGATAATTAAGAAAATGAAATATTTCCCTGCAATTAATGTGCTGTGCAATTCTGCTTCATAACGTCCAAATAATAAGAAATTGCAGTATAGTGAGAAAAGGATTACATGACTATAAATATTGATTTATACATGGCATACTAATTATTAAGAAAATTATCTAGACACCACTGACAAATGGTGAAGGAAAACATCGTGAGGAAACCTGGGCTTATAATTTCTAATTATAAGTTTGAATTTGCCAACCCGCATTGAGCAAGCGTGGTGATTAGTGCTCAAACCTTCTCCGTATGAGTAGAGGCTTTGCTCAGCAGTGGGCATTTATAGGCTGTTGATGATGATACTAATTAATCTATTACTGTATTTGTATCAGTAATTAGTGAATTGTTATTCTTAACATCCTGTTCTTCATTCATATGATATGACAAATAGATGGATAGATAGTTCTAAACAAACTCATCAATGAAAGTCCAAAAACGACGCGTGCCCAACTTGGAAGGGAGCCACATATTTATGTAATTACTTATCTCTTCATGTATTTGTGTTTACATTGGCACCCACAACAGAGTTTTTCCTAGGAAGCACTACATAAAACTCCCGTACAATAACACTTTCTTTAACTCTCAGCAATTTCCGAGAAATTTTTGTTTTTGTCCAACATGGTCCAATTTATGTCCAGTGTCAAATGTGTACTCTTAATAAAACTCGTTCCAATGGCAATGTAAGTAAATAGGATGACTCATTGGGACGTCCACGTGCCATCCAAGGTAACGAACAAAGTGTTCCGGTGTTCCGAGAAACGGGGGAGGCATTCCATGCCGAACATCTTAGTGTACGAACATGTTTTGTTATCTCCGTTCAAAATACTTGGCAGAAGTAACACCGTTTATTCATTGTAGGAAATCATCTGCATTGTTTATTGGTCATCAAAATTTGGTTTATCATAAGTAAATCAGTTCCGTTGCAGTTGCCAATTTGGAAAGTTTTCGGTAAATCTATTCATCATCAGCTCCTTTTTCTTCCCCTGATGGACATATAGCAGGCTACTGACTTCGCTTTTTAGCTCTTGGTATCCAACCACTGCCTTCCTAAACTTTATGTGTATACTGCCTTGCTATAAGCCGGCTGTCCACTCTTAGAAAGACTCCTCCTAAACATATGGTATTTCCGAAGGGTCCACTATATTAATTCAAGTCGACATAGAAAGTTGGCACGATGATTCACCGGGAGAAGTACGTGTCATCCAAGGTTTAATTGAAGTGTGTTTCTCCGAACCCGGGGAGGCTTTCTATACACATAACAGTACATTAGTTGATGTATTTGTTGTTGTTAACTCAGAATTGGAACATTTGGCAATTGCTACACTGTTTGTGGGTTGGCGTTGGTGCTAGGAAAATTTCTGGGCATTATGCTTCTCTATTGATCGAAACGATTGGTATTAGTCATGTTTAGACTTGGTAGTTTGTTTCTAAGACAGGTATCTAAGACAAGCTTGATGGTTTAATACTATTCCCTTTTAAGATGTCAACTATAGCAAGGGTCTGAACTCTGAACGTTCCTATACTTTAAAATCAATAATGTCCTATAGGAACTTCTGAATGGATTGATACAATAAAGGTAGGTTAGTTTAAATTGCTTTATTTAATTACACAGAACAATTTAAAACCAACCAGACAGAATTGAATACAATTCACAAAAGGAAATCTGTTGCAAAATAGCTATTGTGCTGTTAAACTGTCTGCGGTTACAGTACTGTTAGATACTACTGAATCGCATTGACCGCAAGTTGCTGTTCGCACCCATCAAGTTCAGCTATTCGAATCAACAAAATTCTCAACTAAGGTTGCCTGCCAAATATGTGCTGCATGCAACAATATGCAGCAGTCATAAAAGCGTGACGTAGAGCCATTTAGTTTGCCATTTTAGCGTTGTGGATTATAAGGCCAAGTATTACAATATATCAACGCATTTCTCTGAAGGAGCTTACAAAGGGACAGCTTATAATTAGACGTTACGGTATTGCCGTAGCGTGCGCTAGTGTTTAGGTATCCGTGAAATTCATTCGAGGGTCGTTCGCAGGAACTCGTCATGTGAACTCTGGTGCAGTGCCAACGACATACGCGCCTTGACCTCGCAATCCGTCACACGCTGTCACTCACCGATAACGGTGGATTTACAACGATATCGCTACCCATCATGCTATAAGTGCGAGTGGGACGGAGAAAGCCGATGAAAGTGACCGAATGTCTTGCTTTCTGGTCTTCATGACCTAGACATTATACTTTGATGTGACTATCTGATTGTAAACAGAGATATTTATGGACGAATTGGTATGAAGAGAAATTCTAATGCTTTGCCACGATCTAATTTGATGAAATGAAATAGGTAACTACAAATTTTCGCATGACTGACTTGCCTTTGTTTCGTACCCCGGAGTTCTAAGTGCCTATTTCGCTAAATAAATCTGACTTGTTGAGCTGTCTGGCAACCGAGCACTCTAAATACGAGCGCTGCTCAGACGTCCCGCGTCATGTCGTAATCTCATTACTCCAAATCCGATTATGACGGTCGAAAGCCCAACGTCCCGCCATTTCATATTAAAATACAAGTCTAATTAAATCTCAGAGGGCTCAGTTTTACATATTTTCCCAAAAATAACCGTTGATTTGAAAAACCTGCTGAATAAAATTACGGGAGATCATCCCTTCTTTATTTTACCATCTTAGGGCTTTAAACGCAGTTACCTTTAATCAGTAAAAATGTTTCACGTCTACTGTACCTTATGAAGGCGGTTTAGCTAAATTAATTTGCATTGTTTAATCTTAATTATGTTTTGTTGTAGTCGGTCAGATTATATTCGGCGTGATTAATTACGATAAACATCTCGGCAATACATTGGTGGAATTAATTTTATCTCCCTGTTGTTTGGACTAAAATATGATTAGGCATTTTTGTAAAGTTGTACGCTGAAGTGAGCCCCCTCTTGGCTTTGTGGCTCCTCTGCTTACATGTAGAGGTAAAGTCGTGTGCGTGCCGATTAAAACGCCTGATTAATAACTACTGATAAGCAGGCGTGTCAAAACCATCCACAATGCTAGTACGCGTTTTATTTTCTACGTCTTTTATGGCGTTTTATTGTTATTTTCGTCTTTTTACTGTTAAGTTTTTTTTATCTTTATCCTTCGGTAACATATTTTTAACGTTTCATCGTGTTGTTGTTACAATATAGTTAAATACTAATCTTTATTGATTTGGAATAGTTTTCCATTTAATTGCTCCGTTCTGATTTAATGTGACATAAAATCATTTCGTACCGATAATTGATATACTTACATAGGTAAAGCCGCGCGCGCGATGGCTGGGAGCCAAGTCTTAAAATAGACAAGCACCATTTTGTTTTCCCACCTTCTGCTACTTGCATTGTGGTCACGTGAGCAGAACATCAATATTTTATTTAACTTCATACAGCTGATGTATTTTCAATCTGAGTTCATGTTTAAAAGAACAATGACTTAGGAAAAAACACGAGACATGAATACATAAGTAGACTCGCGGATGTTGTTACGCATAAAGAGGAAAATGTTTGTGACGCTGAAATAATAAG